TTTTTTTTTTATTGTGTTTCTTATTTTTTTTTTTTTTTTTTTTTTTTTTGAAAGACCATTTTTTTATCTATGCATGCCATCCTGCGTAGGGGCCATGCTAATCTTCTTTCTCTGTGTCGTTCCAATTTTAACGGATGTCCCGAAGGACGATGTATTGGTGTTCTACCAACCACTGATTATGCTAGGAAAGTGAAGTGGGGGCTGGGAACATGGGACCCAGATGCAGATGCACCGGTCGCCATCCGGCAACGTTTTGAATGCATCTGGACAGAAAAGCTCTCCGGATGCATTCGAGATCTTCGAGGGTTGGTGGTGGTGCTTGCGATAGTCACGCAAGGATTGGCCGCGCCTCCTTTTTTCCTTGATGTGTATGTATCTGAGGGCATACTCACACTATGACTATGACTCTTTCTTTTTTCTTTTTTATTTTTCTGTCAAATCTGGACAGGAAGGCCTTTCAGGCCTTTATTTATTGTCATTATAGTATTACGGGGAAACCCCGTAGCAGCCACATCCGTGCTCAAGCCTCCAACGAGGGAACATGCGGGAGCTGCACCCACCAGCAGGTGCGATACCTGCCACAGCAGGTGGGCGATACCGGCCAGGGGTCAGCCGGTAGCATCAGGACCGAGCTTCTTCGATGGGCCAGTCACTGTGCCTCCCCTCCCGTCCCCTATGAACATCCGCAGTCTCTGCTCAATGCCACTCGGGGGGACCAACGGCATATCTCTAGGTGGCGGGCGCCAAGCTTGCCCAGGAAGGTACACGAGGCCAATGGGGATTGAACCCAAGACCTCCTGAATGCTACTTGCGTGCCTTACCAACTGAGATAGGCCGCTGGATACTATGACTCTTTCCAGCGAGCTCTGGATGGGATTGCGGTCAGATTCATCCAGATCCGGCTGTGATAACCGTCAGGCAGATTGATGTATCGGAGTACTGAGCTGAGAAAATGCTATGTGTCCTTAGGGACATCTGTTAAAATGGGAACGATACAGAGAGAGAAGATTAGCATGGGCCCTGCGCAAGGATGGGCCTCGCTGCACTACTCTCGACATGAAGAAAAAGACAAAAATCAGGGGTTATGAAAAGAGTTCCTGCTAATTCCGCAGACCCGTACTTGGGAATCCAAGTCTCCTTGTCAGAGAGTGCAGAATTCCAAGACCAACTGTTGGAGGAGCGCTCTCGGCGCGAATACCCTTACGAGGGTATCTGCCCTGGTTTTTGCGAGTGACAGAAAGTAGTTTTGGTTTAAAGTTTAAGTATACCGCGCTAGACCCGGCTGCGTCTGTGATTTACGTTGACTGGATGGTTGACCACAAATAGCGAGTGCGAGGGCGTGCAGGTTTAAGGCGCGAGTGATTCTTTTCTGTTGTTGATCGTAAAGCCGGCCCGGACCTCGGTCGTTTTGCTTGGTGATACTATTATTATTTATTTATTTTTGATTAAGCAGGAATTAAGGATATTTTCTTTTGATTGGTACATTTGACCGAGTCGAGCACGCGTGCGGAGAAACCACCCCGACGACGGCATCGGCAATAACGGCGCGATTTCGTGCGGTGAGCAGGATGTCGTAGGATGGCGCGCGGGGGCAAATTATGGCATGGTATAAGCAAGCCGGCGCGGGCACTAGGAGTCGCGCAGCCGTTTTGTTGGCCCAAAGCGCCGCGCCGCACCGTCTTGTATGGTACTCTGCGGGCGCTGGTCTCAGGCTTGGGCTTAGCCCTGTAGGTTACAACATTGGGCTGACGGTACGGAGGCTCGGGGATCGAGGCGAGCAGGCATCGGCGCAGCAATTGCAGCGGAGCGTCACGGAAGGAACCGATGGGGTTGAAGGTCGCCAAGGCTATCCCCCTCGGCTTTGTTCGGAGGCGCGGCGGCCGGCCCGATCCGCGGGGCCGGCGGGGGCCAGCAGCCCCGCTGTTCCCCGGCACTGTTGCTATTTTATTTTATTTCCCCTTTCGGTTTTGTTCATCGCGCCCCGTTCAGGAGCGCGAGACTGCTGTGGGGTCGCATGGGATGTGTGGAACTCGCAGGCCTGCCTGAAGTGCAATTACAAACTGTTTTAGTAACTGCGTCGAGGTTATCCCTTTACAGTATTATGGGGAACCCCGCAGCAGCCACTTCCGGACTCAAGCTTTCAACGAGGGAACATGCGGGAGTGGCACCCACCAGCAAGGGCAATGTCTGTTGAAGTGGGTGGGCGATGACGGTCGGGGGTCAGCCGCTAGCATCAGGACTGAGCCTCTTCGATGGGTCAGCCCGATAGCATCAGGACTGGGACTCTTCGATGGGCCAGCCACTGGGCCTCCCCTCCGGTCCCCTCCCCCTATGAGCACTAAGGATCCCTGCACAACTGCCACTACGGAGCGGCGACGGCGTATTTCTGGGTAGCGGGCACAAAGTTTGCATGCGGAACCTTTCCGACCATAGGTAGAAGGCGGAACGTTGAGACAGGCCGGCCGCTGTGGGGCATTGTCGGGCAATCGGGTCGGGCCACTACGGTTGCTAGACGCTGCGGTGACCGGAATCAGCGAAACGGGCAACAGGGAGGACAGGCGACTGAGGTAGAAGAAGCCGAGCACACAGTCGCGTCGGGTGTGTGCAAGGCGATGCATGAGAGGTAGCGAAGGAAGAGCAGGCAGCGCGGTGCAGCAACGAAGCCAAGTGGAGTGGCGACGGGCTAAGCGGGTGGGCGCTGAGAGAAGGCGGTTGAACCCGGGCGCGGTATCGCGCCAGATGCATGCGGAAGTGGAGATGGCGGGTTGCTGAGTGGGGGGCGGTCTAAACAACGTAACAGAATCGAGAGAGGGAAGAGGTATTCCCGGGGTTTTAACCCCGCGCGAATCAGATTGTAGTGTTAGTTTGATCGATAGGTTAGTAGAAAGAGAGGTTAGTGAGAAAAACGGTGCGCGGAGTAGTCGGGAAGAAGGGGGGAAAAGATGAATGAACCCGAGCGAGAATTTGGGTCAGGTAYATTCGACAGTAAAAATGGCGGGGTGGAGGATTCGGCCACAGTAAAGAAAGGG